GTAATCTAGAAAAGGGGCAGTTAGGTGGTACAGTGGATAGAGTGCCAGGCCTGGATTCAGGAAGATGCCTTTTCCCAAATTCATATCTGGCCTCAGACACTGTGTGACCCTGGGCAAGTCATTTAACTGTTTGCCTCAGTTTCCTCATCTGTAAAATGAGCTGGAGAAGGAAATGGCAAACCACTCCAGTATCTTTGCTAAGAAAATCCCTGGAGAGTCGGACACGACTGAACCAAATGAACAACAGTAGCAGTCTAGCCACTTTACTTTTGTTCATTTGACCGAGTCCTTTCAGTGCGCCTTCAATTTCGGCTCTTGCCTAAAACAGGATGCCACAGACTTTTGGCCATGAAATACTTTGGAGCTTGAAGTACAGTATAATGGACCATATTAATATTGGTCAGAGGTTATGATGTATTGTGGAGTAGAGAAGGATGGAAGGAAGTGAGGAGAATAAAGCAAGTCTGTTTTCACACCAGAATTTTGGATATGAGCCAGAATAGCACTGGGCTTCTGTTGTTTGAGAGCCGTGGAAGTCTCTTGTGCTTGGAGAAAGGCTAAACGTTCGACGCTCCCCTTTCCTCCATGACTGTCAGTTTTCACTTCTGTTTTCAGGCCCCTTACCTTAGATTTCAGTCATATTCTCTCAAATTCAGCCAAAGCTTTCCCTTTGACCTTTGACTCACCTCCTCTATCCTACTCTCTTGTCCCAATCATACTTTATAGATTATAGACTACATAGTCACCATTGCATCATCTTCCAATTGCTTCCTGTTCTCACTGCTGTAAGCAGAGACTAAAGACCTTGGCCTCCTTTTTTGCTTGGTTTACACTGCCATGTACTATCTCCTCTCCTGCTCTTCCTTCACAGCTTCTGAAAAGAAAGTGCCTTCCATCTCCCTTCAGAAAATCACAGAATTTCAGAGTTGGAAGAGACCTCAGTGACCATCTTAGTTCAGTTCCTGTGACTTCCTGAACCATAGCTCAGTCCAGTTCTTCCTCCCCTGTCTCTGGACAGTATTATTAGCTTTACAATTTTCTCATGGCACCATTCTTCACAGCCTAGTTTGGAAAACACTGCCCTACTGAGAGAAAGTCTAAATCTTTATCCTGGCATTCAAAGTCCTCTACAGTGTGACCCGGGCCTTATGTTCAAGTCTTGTCCTTGCTGATTCCCTCATACAGACCTGCTCCATGCAGAATGTTATGGTCATTGTATCTGAAACACGTTATATGCCTTCCCTAGCTATGTTCCTTTGCTCATAGTATGTTGCCCCTGCTTGAAATGTTCTCCCTCAGTTTTGCTGACTGTCATTATCCTACCTGTTTCTAGTTTTTCTGACTCTTGTAACTTTCCATAGCTATACTAACTCATAATGATCTCTGTCCCTCCTTTGAACTTTGGGAGCCCTTAGTATGCATTATCTGCCACTCAAAATCATTGAGATTCCTTGTTGGAAAAGACTTCAGAAGCCATCCTTCCCATCCCTTAGCCAAGCAGGGAGCCTCTCTCCACAAACCTGGAAATTAGTCTTCTGGTGTGGGTTTGAAGTCTTGCAATGAGGGGAATCCCACTACTTCCCAATAGAACATATTCTTCTTTTGGAATCACTCTAATTGTTGTAAGGCAGTTTATCTCTGCATTCAGCCTGAGTTTGCCTCTTTGCAACTTCTACCCCTTGTGATGAGTAGAAGCGGATTCATAGTTCCTTTGGGGCCAAAGAGAATCCAGCTAATCTCTTGTGCAGGTGACAGCCCTTTAAAAAGTCATAGACAATCATCATACTTTTCTTCTGCAGGGTAAACATTCTCAAGTTCTCCAGCCAGAGATTTATGGTATGATTTAAGTTGCCTCACCATGAATTTCAGGGTTATTAATATCATTCCTAAAGTGAAACCTCTAGAACCAAACATAATTCTCCAAATGTCCTGGAACCAGGGCAAAATACAATGACTCTGTCCTCCTTAGTTCTGGAGGCTGTGCTTCTCTTGAAACAGCCTAATATTCTTTTAGCTTTTCTTTATTGCTGTATCACACTGCAGACTCATATTTTGTTTGTGCTCTGCTAAAACTCCGAGATCTTTTTCACATGAACTGTTATCTACTCATGCTTCCTTCATCTTGTACTTGTGAAGTTGATTTTTTGAACTCTATTGTAAGACTTCACATTTATCTCTATTACGTTTCGTTTTATCCCATTTTACCCAGTATCCTAGCCTGTCAAGCTATGTTTGGATCCAGACTGTAATCCTTACTGTTAACTGTCATTTGCGAACTTGATTGCTCACCGTTAAGCGCACTGGTAATAGCAGACCTTTAATAAATGCTGATTGATTGATTGACTTATGCACATATTCCTGGGACACTTCACTAACTAATACTTCCTTCCAACATAACGTTGAACCATTAACAGCTACTCTTTGGATCTGTCCTTTTATTTTCTTCTTCATCTACCTAACTATACTACTGTTTAGCCACGTATCTTCTCCTTTTCACAAGAATGTCATGAGAGATTTTGTCAAAATCTTTGGTAAAATCTAAGTAAACTATATCATCTTCATCTTCTTGTGACCAGGAACAATGCTATCAGAAAAAGAAAAGGAGGTTAGTCTGGCATGGCCTGTTCTTGATGAAGCCATGCTTTCATTTGGAGGATGTTTACTAACTATCCCTTTAGTAATACATTCTGGAATTTTGTCAGGAAGTATAGGGAACCACGTTGGCCTATAGTTTTCAAATTCTGATTTCTTCCCTATTCTTTTTTGAAAATCAGTTCATTTGCCTTTCTCCATGAACTGCAGCTCATCTAGACCTAGTGTCTTGAAGTTACCAGGGGCTACAAGATTCTTTCATATTAGTACTGGCACACTTCTCTTGGGAATCAGCTGACATTAGTTTAGCTGTTTTTCCCCTCCTTTTCAATCCAGATATTATTCTCCTTGGTGCAGAGCAAATAGAAGCAAAATTATGAATTGAATAGCCTTGTCTTCTGATGTCATTGTCTTATCCACCTTGAGCAGTGGTGCTCTCCCTTCTTTGATATATCTCTTTTCCTCAATCGAGCTTTAGTGTAACTTTTTGTTTTCCTTAACTGTTCTCACCAGCGTCAGCTCATTCTGAATTCTTGTACTTCTGATACTCCTCTTACAGAACCATAATGTGATTTTGTATTCATTCTCTGTGCCCTGCCCTTGCCTACATTTTGGGTCTCCAAAAAAGAATTTGACGATTTTCCTGTAAATCTGCAGTAGAGTCTAAACCAGAGGTTTTAAACATGTAGCTCACAGCATTCCATGGCCTGAACCAGATTAAAATGTAGTTCCTATATGATTTTAATGTGTTGATATATTAATTTTTTAAAAAAGAAAGAAAGAAACATGTATGGTTTTCTAAGTCAGTATGCAGCCTGTGGGGTTCCTTATGTACAATTTAGTGGCCCCCGTTTCTATTTCAGTTTGACATTCTCTCTTGTGTCTCTGTCTTCAGAATTTCACTCTTGAGCTTCTTGCCCCTCCTGCCCTGACTTCCAACTAGAATTTTATACCCTGGAATCTTACCTGTAATTTTTCTGATCTTTTGAAAACTGCTTAACTAAAATCTGTGGTTCATGTCAGACCCTCCCTGGCTTTCCTCTCTTCTTAGTAACAAATTCTCAGATAGACTAATCATGTCCCACCAAGATTTACATCATTTTCTCCCTCAGCAAACAGATTCTTCTTGGTTAAAATTCAGTCTGGAATAGAAGTTCTCTTATTGGTTCCTTTACCATTTGATGGATGATAATTTTTATTGTCAGTAAATTATTCGTGCTCCGCTTTGGTCAAAAAGAAGAGAGAGGCGAGAGAATTCAAGTTTCTCATCACTGTGTTGCTATGCCTCTTTCCTGGGAGCTTTCCTTTCGAAGGCTGCCTTCCATCTATTCTGTATGTATCTTCTATTTATACATGCCATCTACCCCGTTAGAATGTAAGCACCTTGAGGGCAGTGACTTTTTTTGCTTTTTTTGTATCTCCAAAGCGTAGCCTAATACGTGCATACTCATTAACTGACTGATGCTGCTTCTGATCTTCTCATGACCTCTCCTCAGTCTTCTTTCTTGCATCATTATCCCTGTCGTACTCCCTGACTGCAGGTGTATCCCAAAGTTCTCTTCTGGGCCTTCTTGCTATCTAGACTATGAATTCCTTGAGGGGACGGACTTTGTAGCTTACTAGCACTTACTAGCACTCAGCGTAGTACCTGACATGTGGGGACTCAAATGTGTATTGATTAATTGATTAATTAGGGACTTCATCATTCCAGTGGCTTGATAGGTTATGTCATCAGCTCCAGTGGCTTTAACCATCATCTCCCAGATGTATAGATCCAGTCCTGGATATATATTGAGCTCCAGACAGTTCCATGTCGCTAACTTCCTTTGAGATGTACCAGCAACTTCTCAAACTCAATGTGTCCTAAGCAGAACTCATGATTTTTCTTCTAAAACTCTTCCCTCTTTTAAACTTCTGTATTTCTCCTTATGATACCAACCATTCTTCTGGGCTCCAAGTTTGTAACTTTGGTGTTATCCTTGACTCCTCATTTCCCTCTATCCTGCTTTTCCAGTCAGTTGCCAGATTTCATCATTTCTTCCTCTTTAACATCTCCCACATCAACCCTTTATCTCTGTTCATAATTGAGGACCTCATTGCTCTCACCGGCGGCCTTCTCATTGGACTCCCCACTTTGTCTCTCCCAGTCCAGTCAGTCCTCTCCTCAGCTGCCATTGTATTTAATGACTTCATATTGTTTTGTATTTTACAAATATGTTCATTCTGTGTATATTTATCCATGTCCTTGAAGGTAGTAATTATTGTGTTTTTGTCTTTGTATACTCAGCACCTAGTGTAATGCCTCACGCTCTCAATGAACGGCCTGTTGGTTAGCTCATGTGGCCAAGTGCACTGTACTGGAACGTTTCCTCAAGGTCTATATCTAACGTTCTGCTTTCTGCTTGCAGGGTGCAGTGCCCAAAGGAAATGCCACAAAAGAATTCATCGAAAGTTTACAGTTGAAGCCAGGGCAAGTAGTATACAAGTGCCCAAAGTGCTGTAGCATCAAACCTGACAGAGCCCATCACTGCAGGTATGGTCATGTCGCTGCTGGGGAGTTCAGGTCAGATGAGTGACAACAAGTCTGCTGTCACTCATAGGTGGCTGACTTCAACTCTGTGTTATTAATTAAGGATCAGATATGGGTGAGCTCTGCAAATCTTGTTTTAGAGGCATGTGTGGCTTATGAATTTGTTTTCACACCCTCTTTGTGGGCACTTGTGGTTAAGAAGCAGCAGTTAAGGGAAGTGTGCATTCCTTTTTAGATAGCAGAAAAATAGCTCTTCTCTACTGTGTCAGGGAAGAGCACCCACTTTGGTTTTCCATTTGTGTAAAGTAGCTGACAAAATTCTTCATAGTCCTGGCTGTGAATTGTATTTTTATTATCATAAAGGCCATTTATAGTGCAGTTACTTTGTTTTTAAAAGCACACACAGGAAACTTAGTGACGTATAGATAGCCAGATGGGCATTGTGGATAAAGAGCTGGGCCTGGCATCAGGAAAACCTGAGTTCAAATTAGCCTCAGACACTTCCTAGCCTTGTGACAAGTCACTTAACCTCTGTGTACCTGTTTCTTCAGCTGTAAAATGGGGATAATAATAGCACCTACCCCCAGGGTTGTTTTGAGGATAAAATGAAACAGTATTTGTAAAAAGTTTTTAGCACGGTGTCTGACACTTAGTAGGCACTTAATAAATGCTTCCTCCTTTCCCTTCTCCGTGTGTGTGTGTGTGTGTGTGTGTGTGTGTGTGTGTGTGTGTGTGTGTGTGTGTGTGATAAAATCAGCAGACTTGGGATAATGGTGTTAGGAATGAGGCAGTATTGAAGGGGAGTATGGGATTAACCTGAGGTTACCATCTCAGCCGTGCTTTTTGTCAGCCTTGAATGAAGAGAGCATTAGGATGTTCTTCAGTCCAGTTCAGCCAATGTGTCACAAGTGCTTCTTTGGGCAGGGCATCATTCTGTATGCTGGGGATGCACGGACAAAGGCAGGCAGTGCAGGCAGCCTGGGGATTTCCCCTTGTTCCCACTACGTTCATGCTGGCTGGAAGGAGAGAGTACTAATGATTGGGGAAATAAGGGACTGCTGGGGGTGGGGAGGAATGGGGGATGGTAGCTACACTGAGCCTGTGAGACCAGATTGAGTTCCCAAGAGGAGGAAAGTGGGAAGAAAGATGTCCTGGCACCTGGTCAGCACTTGAGAACTTGGTGGGCAGGTGTGGAGGCATCAAGGTGGGAGATTCCACTGCAATTTTCCTTCTCAGAGTTAGCCCAGAAATCATACAGGGCTTATTTCTGTGACCCAGGTGCAGAACCCTTTTCCTCCCAGCCCCAAGTTTGAATGACAAGCTTTTCTTTAAGCATGATTAAGAGGTGAAATTTGCCTCTGATAATGTGAGTATAGTGATGAATCACTTCTGATTCTTAAAAGTAGAATTTAAAGAAATAGAGGAGTATGTGTACACATTAGTGTGTTAAAAATGCAATTTATTCAGCTCTGGCCTGGCCTAGCTTTCCATCCAATAAGCCTGCTGCATTCTCCTGCCTAATCCCTCACCCTCACCCTGTTGTGTCATGTAGAGTGTCATGTTCCCTTGGGACGGCTGAACTCCGCCGTTGCGTTCCTCGGGCACCTCCTCATGGCATGAAAACGGCTCTGTATTCTTGAGGGTACTGCCAACAGGGGACAAGCCATGGCAGGTCCTGTGAAACTGGACAGACTCTGAGACCAGGTGAGCAGCAGGCCTTCCCCTCTGTGTGTCAGCTGAGCTAGGCCCAAGGAGGCTCATGGCACAAAGGGTAAATTGTGCATCAGGGGAACATTACCCGCCTCAGTGAAATGTGGGCAGCCAGAGATACACAGGACAAGTCTGCTGTTGCCGTGGCATACGTATAATTAATAAAGAGAATTCTGGGGGAAATCTCCAAAAAGATACCATCACATGCTTCCTTTAGCTAATATATGGGTAGACATTTTCATAAAAGCTCTCATTCTTTCTGCTGGCCTGGATGAGGTCATTGTTAGCTTTGGCCAGTAACAGTCTCAAGACCGGGTTGGAAAATAGAATATTGCATTTCTTGTAGGATGATTTAATTTTATTTTTCTCTGACAGCATAGAAAAGGTTTATGGATGCAAGAGTGTGCTGTTTTTAAAGGCAAGGACGGAGAAGTTAAATGTATAGAGTGATAGCTATGGGATAACTGAAGTCCTTTCCTTTGTCTCCTGGGCCTAGCATTCTGCCACTGCCAGCTGCTAGCACTTTCCTCCCTGCCCACTTCCATGCCTTCTCACGTATGAGCTCAATGAGATATTGCTGAGCTCTAGTAAGCAAATCAGCTCAGTCAAAGCAAGAGTCACCAATTCAAATGAGCCAGAGCGATGGTGCATGTCACTTATTCATCCTGCAGAGAATGCTCTTTGGCAGCCGCTTGATTCTGAATGATATAAACTGTCTTGTTGGCCTACAGTTTGGTGCAGATGAAAGCACAGCCTTTGATTAAAACCCAGACCAAGGGGCAGCTAGGTGGCACAGTGGATAGAGCACCGGCCCTGAAGTCAGGAGGACCTGAGTTCAAATCCGGCCTCAGACCAAACACTTGACACTTACTAGCTTTGTGACCTTGGGCAAGTCACTTAACCCCAGTTGCCTAAAAGCAAACAAACCAAAAAAAAAAAAGCCCAGACCACCAGTCTCCTAGACAGAGTCAGTGCCATGGACCTGACTTAACTTGACAAGAGACCTACTTAATCTCTGTTTATATAAAAAATTAAATGTCGACCTCCTTTGTACTGTGTGTGTGTGTCTGTGTGTCTGTGTGAACTCCCATGGGTTCAATACTCATATCTATGCAGAGGATTCCCAGATCTATACAAGGTATATCAAAAGTCTTAGTGCAGTTTTTAGTGTTAATAGTAATGTTTTAATGTATTAAAAGTGCTCTTTTGGGACACCCTGTATATTGAACCCAAATATTTTTCCTGAGTTCCAGTCCCACATCACCAACTGCCTTGTAGACATCTCAAACTGGTTATCACATGTGAAACTCCATGTGTCCAAAACAGAACCCGTTATCTTTCCCCAGAACGTCCCTTTTCTCAGCTTCTCTAACACTGTCAAGGGCACCCCCATCCTCCCGGTCATCCAGACTTGCTGTCTTGGTATCTCTTCCTTCAGACTCACCCCAAGTAGCCAACCTGGTGTCACATTCTGGTGACAGCTTTACAGCATCTCTATTGTCTGTCCCTTTCTCCCACTCACCCAGCCTCCACCAGCTCCACCCCCTCATCACCTCCTCCTGGACTGTGGAAGTAGCCTTCTCATTGGTCTCCCCTGCTCAGTTCTCTCTGCTCCAGACCGTGCTCCACTTGGCTGCAAAAGAAGTGTAAGTGTGACTGTCACACACACACACACACACACACACACACACACACACACACACACACACCCACACACCTCAACACACCCTCAGTGCTTCCCTCCTCCAACATCAGATATCAAATCCTTTGTTCACAACTTGTCCTTTTGACCGTTCAGGATTCTTAGATCTTACCCCTCTACATTCCGGCCCCATTGACCATTTCCTAAAACAAGCACTTGCATTTCCCAGCGCCATGCCCAGAATGCCCTTCTCCCTCACCTCTTCCTCTTGGTTTCCCTGACTTTCTTTGAGCCTCAGCTCGTGTCTGTCTTTGCTGCTTCTCCCTCCTCCCTACCCCCACTAGCTGCTCATCTCTTTTTTCTGAGAGATTACTTTTCCTTCCATTCACACTGTGTCCCCAGCACTTATCTCAGTGCCTAGCACATGAAGGGCTTAAGAAATGCTTGTTGGTTGACTCATCTGACATACACTTGCCCTCCTAAACCAAGCCTTCTGCCCTGTCTCTCCCTCCTTCCCCCACCTCGAGTGACCTCACAGAATTTCCAGAAAGTTTGAACCGTGCTGTGCATCTCAGAAATGTGCTGCTTTTTCTTAACTCGGTGAGTCTTCTTCCCAGTGCTATGGTAATACCTACAGTCCTTTCCTTCCAAGGAAATACCTGTGGCCAGAGACCCTCCGTAACACCAATGCTATTTGCTACCCTCACTCAAAGCGCCTTTGGGGGCTGTACCTTTGAAAGCTTTCCTCCAGGTGTCAGCAGTCTGAGTCAAGTCCTGCTTATAGCATAGATGGGAAAGCTCTGGGACAGGTGGGTTGCAGGTGGTGGTATTCCTATGGCTAATATGAATTGCTCTTGAAAGAGGATGCCAAGGGGCATCTAGGTGGTACAGTGGATAGAGCACTGGCCCTGGAATCAGGAGGACCGGAGTTCAAATCTGGCCTCAGACATTTGGCATTTAACTAGCTGTGTGACCCTGGGTGAGTCACTTAACCTCATTGCCTAGCCAAAAAAAAGAGGATGCCAAGATCAGGGCCTTGAATGGTCATTCTTCTAGGGCTAAGAGAGGAGAGAGATGCACCATCACAACTTTACCTTTTTCAAGAGTATTCCTAACCTGTTGACAGGAAGTCTTTGCTAAGCCCTCTTCTCAGACATTCTCTTATTACCTGTTTATTCTGTACACAGATTGTACATATTTGTTTGCTTGTTGTCTTCCCCGTTAGAGTGTGAGCTCCTTGAAAGCAGGAACTGTCTTTTGCTTCTTTTCATATTCCCAGCACTTAGCACAGTGCCTGGCACAAAGTAGGCCCTTAATAAATGTTGATTGATTGATTGATTGGCCACCTCCTAGACATGTGAAACTGAAGTGTATTTGCAAGAAGAAGCATGATCCTTTAACCTCGCCTTCTTTTATCTTTCTTGTTTCCTAATTAAGTACTGTAGTCTTAGATTATTAAAGACCTATTTCCTGAGTCTTTCTGTTTTCCAAAATCTACATCACTGCTTTTCAGGCTTCATTTTGGTCCCTACTTATGTATTGATAAGAGGGGAGCAGGGAGTCCTGCCGATGAGGAGATAGCAGACCCCTTGGTATCTGTCGAACCCTCTGTCCTGCGCGCTGAGCAGAACACAGAGAGGTCCTTTCCCCCAGAACTGGCGTCTGTTTGCACTCTGCTAGAAAGCGTTCTCTTTCAGAGGTCGTGCGCCAAGTGCATCCTCTGGGTTTCATCAGACATTTGGAGAAATGCTTTGTGGTGGGTTCTTCTGAAATAGCCATTTAGAAACCTCCGAATGAAGGGTGATGTGTCTTCAGAAATACAGCTCCCTGATCCAGTGGGTGACATGTTTAAAAATTCCCTTCTTCAAATGATACAGATAAGTTCCAGACTTTGGAAATGGATGCCCTCCTCTCCTCTGCCACGTAGAATCCCTAGAAGGTGCCACCTCTTCCAGGAGGCCTTCCCTGATCTCCCCCTTCCCAAAGTTGTTAGTTCTCTCTCCCTCTCAAAATTACTTTGGATTAACTTATTTGTGTTCAGGTCATATCCCCTCAGTAGAGTATAGCTCCTTCATGTCAGGGATTGTTTCCAGTTTGTTAGATTTTTTTGGTCTTTTTCTCCCAGTTGCTGAGAATATGGTGCTTAATCAATCTTAGCTTGAATTGAATTCTTTCTGCACTTTCTTTGTTACTGTGTTTTTGTACCACCCTTAGTAGATTATGATGTTTCTGCTGGCCCACCACGTGCTTTTGAGTTGTTTTTCTAGTAGGGATGATAGAGCTGTGTGTTGAGTCATCACTCTCCCCTCTTGTAACTCAGTACTGCCCGTTGTCAAATTAAAGATGTTGGGAATACCACCCCATGGCCCTGTCTTCATTACCAGCCATTGACAAATGATGGAGCTAAGCTTCACAGACTTATTACTATTGAACGTGGCACCAAAAATGGAAATGGAGACCAATTTAAACACAACCAAAAAAAACAACCAGATTTAGTAGCCCCTTGTAGCTGTACGCACTCCTTCTTATCAGCTGAGCCTGTGTTTGAGCAGCTGTCGGCACCTCGGAAGAAAGCCTGATTTCTGCTCATGCTGAAGGACCATTCTGGCTCTCTTGGCCCAGTTCTGAACTTGCTGTCATCACTTTTTTGTTCTTCCTGAAGTATATTTGTTGTTCTTATCTGGCTGTACCACTTACCTTTATTCTTTTTGAAGTTACACCCTTCCTGTGTTTATACTTTTTCCCTTTTCAAGGACTGGGGCAGAAAAAAGAGGAATGGCTTTTGTGAGGGCTTGTTTGGACTCTTGGGCTACTTATATCAAGATGCTGGGTCTCTTGGCATTTCTCCATGGCCAGACTCTGCATTAGAAACACCCACTCACAAAGGCTCAGAGTAAATAGAGATAGTAGAGCCACTAGGAAACTTAGACCAGGGGTAGGGAACCCACAGCCTCAAGGCCACATGTGACATTCTAGGTCCTCAGGTGCAGCCTTTTGACTGAGTCCAGGGTTTATAGAATCAATCCTTTTATGAAGGGGATTTCTTTTGAGAAATTTGGATTCAGTCAAAGGCAGCACTTCAGGACTGGAGGGCCACAGGTGGCCTCGAGGCCACGGGTTCCCCACCCCTGGCTTACAGCCAAGAGCTCAGTTCCTTGGTTTACTTTATCGGCAGTGAATTTTTATGTTCATGATTAAGGAATTTTTTGGAAGGATTATATTCTGGTTCTGTTCTTGCTGCTCCTGTCCCCTTACCACTTCTGGAGCTTTCACACTCCATATTGCCCCTTTTTCCCAAAGCCTCTCCCTCAGTCAGATGCTTCTCTTGCAGATGGTAGCCTTTGTAATGTTAGCCGAGGGGAATCGGACACAAGTATGCAAGAATGGTAGCTAACAATGACTTTGGCCTGTGGTCTTGGAGTGATGAGATTCAGACTTTTCTAACATAATATCTTTCTCCCATCCGTTTGTATTTTCTTAAGTGTCATACATAGGTGGGGGAAAAATGTTCTTAGGTGAACTGGTAATACCAGAAGTCTTCTGTTTTCAGAAGGGTTACATCATTACCTTCTTGCAAGCATACACACTCAGTCTCTTAATCCTGGAATATTGCTGGATTGTCATTATGGCAGGTCACAGGGAATAAGGGATCCTGTTCTGTTTTTGGGGGTGGGCTTTGAGGCAGCTAGGTAGTATAGAATATTGGACTTGGAGGCAGAAAGTCCTGAGTTTAAATCCCGCTACACTAACTTTGTGATCTTGTTTAAGTCACTTAACCTCTGTCAGCCTCAGACTTTTCATCTGTAAAATGGGGTTAATCATAGCTTAATCACTCACAGGGTGATTAAAAGGAATTTGATAATATGTGTAAAGTGCTCTGCAAACCTTAAAAGTGCTGTATAAACGTTAACTATTTTTATTGTTATTATGTTTCTGGGTAGCTTGGTTTTATCTTTGTTTACATTTATCCTTTCAGATAAGCTAATGATATTTTTCAAGGTCAGCTTTATTCACTTTTTCAGTGTCTGTAAGAGATGCATTCGAAAGATGGATCACCACTGTCCCTGGGTTAATAACTGTGTGGGAGAGAATAACCAGAAGTACTTCGTACTGTTCACAGTAAGTTGGCCCCTCACCCCTTCCTGAGGCAGTGATTCCAGAAAGGGCTCACGATCTCCTGAATGTTGTAATGAGCCACTGACACTGTTCCCAATATACTGTCATGAGGATCGTGGCCATTTAGACAGATCACATACGGAGGGCCTGTATTTCTGTCTCCTTGAAAAGAGACTGTCCTGACCTAATGAGTGACATCATTTAAAGAATTTCATTTTGGTTGTTTGAAAGAACTTGAGATTTTTTGGAACCTTCCCAACCCATTCCTAGAACAGTAGAACGTGACAGCTAATGGTCACTGATAGCCAGGAATCATGTGCTGAGATCAGCCCTGCCTTGGATCTAACTCACAAAATCAAAACCAAATGACTGTTGCATCAGAGGAAAGGGACTGGGACAGCGAGGCTCCCTGGTTAGCGCTGGTGGCCAGCTGCCTGCATCTTTACCAAGGCTCACCAGGCAGAGCTATGCTCAAGCCAAAGTTGCTCTTCCTCCTCTACATCCTCCCTGACCCAGCCCACTGTCCCTAGGATTCTCACGTATCTGAAAGTCCTTAGACCCGATTTCTTCAGCTTACGCTAGCCCCTGAAATTGCATTTCTTCCATGTTTTTATTGCAGATGTATATAGCTCTCATTTCCCTGCATGCCCTCATCATGGTGGGATTTCATTTCCTGTATTGTTTTGAAGAAGACTGGACAGGTGAGTTTTCAGCCAGTGTTTCCTTCTGCCAGACAGAGGTTAAAAGCAAACTTTGAAGGGTTGGTCTTGATCTGGGGTTACTTAATTTCATTAGCTTCCCTGCAAATCATAGGAGAAAAAAAAAAAAGAGATCAAACCAATCTTAATAAGGCAAAGCAATCTACTCAGCTATTATAGTCTCAATGCAAAGTCAAGTCATGAGTTGCGATGAAGATTTTTAGAAGGCACTGGGGAAAATACAGCCAAGAAGAGCCATGTGCCAGCAGTAAGTTAGTGCTGGACCAAGAAGATCCGTTCAGGGGAGGAAGAGAAATGCTCGGCTCCCTAGAGAGGAAAAGCATTTGCTTTTTTAAATAAGGTGAGATAAGCAGTACAAGGCAGCTTGTTCTCCTCTGGACCAGCTTCACTTGAACCGTCCAGAGAAATCCTGGTGTTCTAATAGGAAGATGAATTATCCGTAACGAAGAGCACACAACCGTGTTTGTTTGTTAGAAATGGAGAAAAAGCATTTATTAAAATGAGACATTTAAGAGCAGATACCATGAAACCACCTCAAAAGAGCCTTCAGAACCGTACGGTTCAGCAGGTGCTGCCTGAGGAAGGGCGCTTGTGAAGCTGCACTTGTCGAGCTCAGAATCTTTGTGAAGAAATCCTAGAAGGTTGAAGAGCGAGGGCCCCTTTCTCCCTTTAAAAACATCGCCCTTCGTTGTATATGCAGGAATTAGAAAGCCACTTTTGGTGATCAGTTATCTCATAGAGGCATCTCAAGGATACTAGAATTTTTGTTTGATTAGAAAGTTGTCGTTTTGGTATGTCTTCTCTATCTTTATTTCCTCATTCCTGTCTTCCCATTCTTCTGTTCTCTGTTTGATGTCTACTTCTGTGTGTTATGGCATCACTCAGAGGAGAGGCATTGTCATCTCCTGTCACGGACCCCAAGCTTCTGACTTAAGGATGTGGATGGGGAAGGAAGTGGCGCAGAGATTGCCATGCCCTGTGCTTATTTCTCCTGATTAGCTAACACTGCAGGGCAGCACAGGCCAGGGTCCTTGGTCAGGCAGCAAGTTTTCCTCAACTGCACAGGCTACTATACAAGGAGCTTGGAATTCATATTAAAGAGTGGACTTGATCTCTGCCTTCTTAAGGGGCTTACAAACTAATAAAGAGACAAGAGAAAGTATAATGAAATCAAATAATAAGTGTTCATAGAAGGCAGATAACCATCCCAAGAGGTTCCCCAGAGTTTATGTCTGACTCTGGGGTGTGCTGTGATATTTAGGCACTTAAACTAATGTTAAAGTTAATTGGCAGCACACATCAGCTGGGGAGGGAACAGAGACATCCTAAAAATGTCCCAGAGATGGAGGAACTGTACCAGAACGTGCTAGAAGTAAGCATTTGTTCTCCTGAGAAGTGAGGGTGGTAGGGTAGGCACAGACTCCCAGGCACAGGGGTGGCCCATAACACAGTGACGTGTCTGGCGACCAATGCAGTTGCTCCAGGAGGGGACAGTGCCACATCTGAAGAGTTTGGCCTGGACTTTCATTGGCTTTGGGAGAAGAGCTCCACGGGACCCCCTTGGGTCCAGGCAGATGGAGGACTGTGGGAGGAGCCACAGCAAGAGGGCTGCTTTTTACAGCCATGCCCTGCTTACTGGGCTAGCCAGCTACTGATGCCAGCTGCGACCCAGCAGAGTGAAAAGGTGTCATGGCTGATTCACAGAGTTTTGTTTGCCGAAGTTCTTTTAGTCTCTCTCGAAAGAGAAGTTCTTTTTAAGAAGGGCTTTTTGTTCAGAAGCATTGGACCAGATGGCTGCTGAGGTCCTTCTTAACTTGAGATTCTGGCTTGGTGAGCTCCATCTCCCTGCACTGTTTCCACAGAGACAGTACCCAGTGGTAATAACAAAAGCTGTTATTTCTGAGAGCTGAGGTTTACAGAGTGCTGTGTGTGCATCGTCTCCTCTGAACCTCCCAGCACCCTGTGAAGTGGGAGCTGCAGCTGTGATTGCTGTCTGGCACAGGAGGAAGCCAAGGCTCCAGAGTTCAGTGACATCATCTGTCGATCCCTTTGTGCAGAATTAATACCGTCATTGCAAGAACCAGGTGGAATGCGAAGCAAGTTGGTGATTGTGCTTTACAAAACCTGCCAGATCAGAGGAGTGCCAGCCAAATCCTTCAAGCATGTGAGCCTTCATTTTGATTTAAAGAAGGGGAGATCAAAAACGTGTGTAGTCAGGAGGGAAGATGACACTTAGGGATGCTTCGAGGACTTTTTCTTCAGTACTTTATTCCCTACATTCCAGTTAGAATGATTAGGGCCCAGAAATCTTCAAACCCCAACAACTTGATGCATAGTACTGTCCCACGAGGCTGGAATTTCTTGTGTACTCACTGACCGGCCCTTGGAGGCCTTGTTCAGGTAAGAAGGGAAGGAAGCCTTCTCTCAGAGCCCAGGATCCCAAGGGCGGAGGCCAGTGAGATGATTGGCAATGGCCAGGAAGTCCCAGTCTAGTTAGGAAGAAGAGGGCATGTGCACATGGAAAATTAAAGAATAATGTAAGAGTTAAGTAATGGCAAACCTAGCAGTACAAGAGGTCTCCCAAGGCAGGCAGTGTTCAGTTACTTGCCAGTGAATGGCACAGACAAGGAAGTGCCCAAAGTTGGCTAAAAAAGATCTGAGACTCAGAATGGCGATGCTGCTCATGCACTGCCTACCTCTCAGGCTTGTGGAGAGGAAACTCGAAGAGACTCAGGGGTCTGTAAACTTTAATGCAAAAGAGGAGCATCGAGTACAGTGCCCCCACCCCAACCCCTGTGTTACCAGTGAGGAAACTGAAGCCAAGGGGAGGGAAGGGACTGGCCCAAGGTCACACAGCAGGGTCCTCCTGCCCTTTCTCCGGTATTCAGGGTACTGACTTCAGAAGGAACAGTCCCTGTGGAAACGAAGGCACAGGAGCCTGTTTTTGGTGGACGTGCTCTCTCCCCCATCATCTCCGTCATCTTCCCCAGAGACGGCATCGGGGTCACGGACTTGTCATTCTCCTGTTGTCCTCTCCCAGTCGCAATGCTTTTTCCGGTTGAAGGATACAAGTCTTCCGTTTTGGTTGGGAAAGGACTCAACTAAACTCAGTTATCAGACTGGCCTGGGTGTGTGTGTGTGTGTGTGTGTGTGTGTGTGTGTGTGTGTGTGTGAGTGACACAGAGAGAGAGAGAGAGAGTAGAACAGTGTGTTGTCAGCACGTGACGTGCCAGGGCAGCCCTGCAGGAATGGTCCCAGGCCAGCGTTGAAGGCCTCTTCCATATCTCTGTTTTGCAGAATGCAGCTCGTTCGCCCCGCCCACCACAGTGATTCTCCTCATTCTGCTGTGCTTTGAAGCTCTCCTTTTCCTCATCTTCACATCAGTAATGTTTGGGACCCAGGTACACTCCATCTGCACGGATGAAACGGTGAGTGCCCCCCTGCCCCTCCCTGACTGGTGTGACCAGCATGGGGACTCAGGTGTGCTCCAAGGCCCCAGGTAAAAAGGCTCGTGAGATACTAGGTCTTGCATTTACATTTACATTGTGCGGCTTTACATCTGAATCACTCTTACTGGGTCTATGTGAAGGGAATCTTTGGCAGGAATTTCCCCCATCTGAGATCAAGGCTAGTCGTTTGAAATGTCATTGAAGTGTTCTTATTACCAAAGGAAAGTGTTCCTTTTTGTACCTTGATAGCTCTGGGTTGCATTTTGATTTCAGTAAACTCAGGCCCTCAGAGCAGAGGAGAAAACACAACAAGAGCTGCAGTGGAGAGCAGAAGGACCGGTCAGGGATTCTGCACTGGTCACTAGTCCTTTGGAGGCAGGGCCACAGACTGACCTCAAGCCAGCAGCCCCAGGGCGATCTTAGAAGCCTGGAGGAATCAGCCCCAGGGACGTCTGCAGGAAGAGAACCTTGAGCTTCTGCAGGCCTGGCCCCGAGTGTGCCATGGCAACCTCCTTTTCAGTTAGAGTCACTGTGATCCTTGCCACTGCCTGCCCCCCAGCGGAGACAGGATGACTTCTGAACTAGTTTGACCAGCAGGGAAGAATGCCATCTCCTGAATGCTTCAGCAGCTGTGCTAGACGGTCATGCGATGGTCCGTGCATGCCTGTGCCTACATTGAGTGTCCCAGAAGTCTTCATTCAAGAAGCTGAGCAGTTTTGAGCTTCAGTAGCTTTCAATAGCACTGAGACTTTGGGAACACCTGTGTGTCCTGTGTGCACATGCACGCATGCACGCGCGCACACACACATTTATTTTAGCACACACTCTGTGCAGATCACCATTGTGGGCTCTGTGGTGAGAGTGAGGACGAGGCTACAAGAATGTATAAGACATTGTTCCTGCCGTCAGTGAGTTTTCAGTCCCGTCTAGAACATTATCCTCGATGTGAGAAAGTAGAAAGCTCGTGATGGTTCATGTTACTCACCCTCACAGCCTTCTGGGAAGGAGGCCATGAGAAAGTCTTTTTCTATCTGAGGAAAAGTTTCTTCTCCTCTGTTAGGCAAGTTTCTCTTCCTCACTCCTACCAGTAATATTAGTCCCCGTTAAGTCCATATTCTTACCCAGTGCCTCCACGTTATTAACAAAGTCTCCTACTGACCAGTTATTGGCGATTCCTTCCAAGAAAGAACTAGTGTTTGAACAAAGGCACTAATCAGGGTTCCTTTGAGTCAAGCCTTGATCACCCAGAACTGCAGGCTATCGGAGCAGGGTTCCCCTGAGGTGAAGAAGTTACAGGCGATTGGGCCAGGACCCTTCCCTGCCCCCGCTGCTGTCCCTAGCCGCTCTGACTTCTAGAAGGGGCAGAAGAGTCCAGTTGGCTCCTTTAAAGTAAGGGGGTCCTGCTGGCTCCTCTTCCTTCCTGGAATCAACAGTTGACAAAGAGCAGGGGCTAGGCACACACCCAGGGCCTCCTTTCACTTGGGGACCCTAAAGACATTCCGTAGTACTGGTTGACCATGGTAATGTAACTATGTGGTTTATCTTGGGTTGCGAGAAAAGGAATACCTTTGTCCTCCAGAGATCTGATAACAGCTCTAGACCCTGATTTCATTTTACTGTGTGTAAAGAATACTACTAAAGTTGTTTCCATTGCAATAGGGGCTGATTGGTCTGATTGTTTGAAAAGGTCTGTGCTCTTGCTTTTAACATGTACTAATTTAGTGTCTTCCTTTTCTTGTTGATGACTTCCCTCTTCCCTCATTTAAAGTTCTCTTCACCTTTTCCCAATTATTTGTGTATCTCTTACTCCTGATGCCACTCATATTTTCACTCTCTGGGAGCATTCCTGGGGAAGCTAACCACACTGGAAATACTATCTAACCTTTTTTTTTTTGTCTGCAAACTGGTCATGGTTTCTTCAAACAAATCTCCCATGAAATTGGTCCCAAATTAATTATCATTATATCTTTCATGATGTCAGGTCCTTCCTAGCTCTTACACTAGGCCTAACTTAAGAGCAAGCCACAGTTCCAGACACAAAAACTCCTTGTGCTCTAAAGATTAATCAGACATTGGAGGTGATTGTTAGATGTCTCCTACTTTTGTTGTTTTTTTCTCCTCTTTTTAAAAAAAGAATGCTTACAAATGTGTATTTCCTCTGACCCCTAAAGAAAAAGTTCCATATAACTTTATAATAATTTTCTTTTATATTTTTTCCAATTTAAAAGAAGAAAAAGGAAAGTATTTTCTAGATTACTTTTTTAAACCCTACAAAATTTTATTTCATTTGCCACAAGGCAATGGACATTTCCCTCCCCCAAAACAAAACCGTGGTGATGAAAGTGCTTGACTGAAAGTGTGATTGTTCTTGTTTTCAGGGAATAGAACAATTGAAAAAGGAAGAGAGAAGATGGGCTAAAAAAACAAAATGGATGAACATGAAAGCAGTGTTTGGCCACCCGTTCTCTATAGCGTGGCTTAGCCCATTTGCTACACCCGACCAGGGGAAAGCAGACCCGTACCAGTATGTGGTCTGAAGGATCCTTGACCAGCACATCCACTACACACAAAGCCACATGACAGCACTACCGCTCAATAAATTTTACATGAATGTTTAAACCGAAAAAGCAAAACAAAAACTTTTTTTAACATCAAGTAAAATGGCGAGCATTGCAGAGAAAAAAAAGCCCCCTTCTTCTGAGGAGCTCCGTTTTCTCAGGCTATCCAGGCGGTTTTTGGTGGTTGGAGCTCCTCCTCCTCCTCCTTTCTCCTCTTCTTTTTTCCAAATCCCTTTAAATTAACTGTCCTGGCCTTTGGTTTGTTCTCTGCTTTCTGTTTGGCATAACTAACATGGAAGGGGCGCTGTTTCCCGGTGGTCATGCCCACCCCTCCTAACTGTGCGAGTCGTGACTTTGGTGGGACTGGCCATTGGTGGTCCCAGCAGTGAGAACAGAGCGCCATCTGCTTCCCAGCACCTCTGGGGGCCGACGTGGGGAGGAGGACCATCCTGGGGATAGCAGTGGGGCTCCTGGGAATTCCCCGAAGATGGACACTCAATCACCGAGCTGGAAAAGGTTGAGGATCAGGAAATGGAGTCAATCAGAAGGGCCTCTTGGGGCACTGGCTTCATGGGACAGTGGGAGTAGCTTTAAAACAAGGCCCGGGGGCCTCTGTTCCTTGCCCCTGATAAAGGAAAATAGGTTCTGTCTAGCTGCCTTGTTGGGAGGGAGGGAGGAAGGGAGGAATGGGGTAAGTGGGAGTAAAGTCTGTTTCCACCAAATCAAGAAATTGTGCCCTCTGTTAGTCAGTAAAATGACTTGGATGGGCGATTTTTCCTCAGTGCAAAATGCCTTATACTAAAAGAAGGAGAAATGCAGCTTTGGGAAAGCAGCTTAAGCCATTGTTTCCTCTGTGAGATGCCAGTTAAACAGTGTTGGTGATGGGGGTTGTGGAAGAGGTGGCAGAGACCTTGGTATCAGAACACTGGCCCCTGCTGTAGACATACCCTCTCTAGAATGATTCATTTTCAGGGATTAGCATTTACAAACCTGTCAAAGCAAAGTCACCCTCTAATATCTACACAGAGTAATAAATACACATACACCCGTAAGTTGGAAGCAGTGAAGTTTTCAGTGCTAAGGAGTCAAAATGCTACCATCATAGATGATGTGGGGAGAGTGGGTGGCAGGCTGGCCTGTGGCTTCACAGGGCCAGGAGAAAGAAGGGTGCACAGAACAAAAAGGCGATCTCAACCTCTGTGACCAAGGTGATTGAGGTTTTATGTTGGAGCAGGAAAGCATGAATGTATTTGGAGCAAGGTAGGAAGACATTTTGAATGCCCAGTGTCTGGATTCTTATCGGTTGACTTTTTAAAAAATCCTTTTTTTAGCTTTCATTTTGCGAGTATGAATGAGATGTATTAAACGTCGGGCCAAATCTGGGTGTGAGAGGCAATAATCCGTGCCACTTTTCAGAAAGCAATGTGAATGTGCCACGTCTTTTGATTCTGTTCAATGCTTCCATATGGAAAACACATGCAATAAAATTTTTCCAAAACTTGTTTTCTGATTTAGCTCTGTGACCTGTTGCAATATAAGGAGAAAATAAGCAAATTCTCCCTGCTACTGATGTGATTTATTTTTCCCGTAGTTCCTTTTTAACCAATATTCTAACACTCCTCTGGGGAAAAAAAAAGAGCTTGTAATTGGCTCAGCCCATCAGGTGAGAAGATGTCTCAAGGACCAAAACCTATGTTCCTTTGGTTTCTCTGGACTAAATTCACTGTGTGAATCTCAGTCCTCTTTGCTCTGTTACTATAGGAATGAAGTCAAGATGATATGATTTCACACTTCAGTTACAGTAGCTGGGTTCTTGGGAGGAAGGGGAATGTCTTTTGCATGTGACCCCTTGGTTAGAAGCAAGTTAGAACAAGAAAAAGCCACTACAAACAAAACTTTGCCTTTATTTAGCTCCTATTGCTTTGCAGAGATCTTAGCTCTTTGGTTGTGACCTTTCAGACTGAAAGAAATCATCTCCTTCCTGTTTGACCAACTCGCTCAGTGACCTTGCCCAAGTCAGTTTCCTTTCCCTGCCTCACTTTCTCTATTTATGCAACAAATAATACTTTTGCAGCGCCCAGAGGAGAGAACAGAACTGTTTTCAGGACCTCTTAGCAATGTTTTCTCCTTTTGTACATTAGGTGATTTAATTCTGTAATAATACTGATTACTTAGTTTAAAAAAAATACTAAGAAAAAAATCAGCATTGGATCTTCATAGGAATCTTGGAAGTGGCTCCTCCCCACCTTGGGGTTGGCTTTTTGGTAGTTGCCATGTTTAGCTGCCTTTTTCCAACAACAGTCCCAAACATCGCCCCCACCCTCTTCCTATCCAACTGTCCTTTGGATGGGACAGTAAGAAAACATAGCTCAGTGTTTGAATGCCTTTGAAACAGAAGCCATTTTCACCATTTCGAAGGAC